AGTCCAAAAAGGGAGCTGCATGGAAGTTCACCTTGGACCTGACCCACCCTGTGGAGGACGGGATCCTGGACTCTGCAAACTTTGTAAGTCGTCACTGAAGTTATTGAACCCTTTAAGTGACAGAGACTTTGGTCATTTTCAGACCTCACAGTCAGGAATTTAAGAATGAGAAAACTTGTAAAAACCCAGTGGAACATTTCTCTTGAAATTGTGATCATAATTATTATTTAACAACCTTTTCTGTCCCAAAAGAAAAATTATTAAACATTAAATAAAAGTGATCTTTGCGAGCAGCTAACCCTGTGTCCGGACTAGGGCTCCCTTCCCTAGCTCCAAATTTACTAGGGTTCCCTTCCCTAGTGCATCACTATGCTGTGTTCAATAGGAAACCTTCCTCAAAGAGAGGATAAAGGTCAACGGAAAGACGGGGAATCTGGGTAACATCGTCCAGGTCGGCCGCATGAAGAACAAGATCAACGTCACGTCTGAGAAGCAGTTCTCCAAAAGGTGAGACAGGACGAGCTGCAGCTCCTCATCCGCAGAGGAATAACATCTGTAAAATACTTATTTTATTCCACAAAAAATACTGTGAATGATAACATCCCCCTCCCTCCCTGCCAGGTATCTGAAGTACCTGACAAAGAAGTACCTGAAGAAGAACAACCTGCGTGACTGGCTCAGAGTGGTGGCGTCGGACAAGGAGACGTACGAGCTGCGTTACTTCCAGATCAGTCAGGACGACGAGGAGTCGGAGGCGGACGAGTAAATGTCTTCAGCGCAGCGCCACAGCTGTCTGCGAGTCAGCAGCTGGCGCGAGGCAGGAGAATAAATATGGAGAAAGAACTTTTCTGTCTTTTTGTTTTTGTGTTCTCAAAAAAACTCTGCACACCTGACAGGTGCGTCAACAGGAAGCACAATTCACAGAATCTCTTCATTACTTCATTATAATATATACATAGATTGATATAATCCAGAATCACCAGTTTAAACAAAAACTGAACATTACCACCTTCATGAGGGGAGGAGTTATATTACAGGACTGTTAGATTAAACTAAGTGTTCCTAATAAACTGACAGCTGAGTGTGCAGGTACACCTGGAGCTGATGTGCTGTTCCATATCCCTGCAGAAGGTTGTGCAGCAGCACACTGAACGACCACTAGGCGGCGTTGCACACTTGTGTCAAGTCAACATTTTGATGTTGTAACTGCACAACATTCAACATTTATTTTCTGTTACAGGCAGGTTAAATCAGACTAAACGTCAACTGAAAACCCCCTGAACAAGGCCGTCACTTCATGTACACTTTGTTTATATTTTACCGGAGCTTATATACGTTTTAACATTTTTAATACCTTTAAAACTAAAATGACTCCAAAAACAAGTTGATAACTGAAGCCACAACAATGAAAACATCAGGGTCAAAAGAGGAAAGAAAACTACACCAAAACAAAACGTGTGTATATATATTTCCCCAGATTGTTTCTGGGTGTGAGAAGTCTTCATATCTTATTCCCCAGTCTTAATTACTGGCTTACTGTCAAAGCCTCATGGGAGCTGTAGTTTCTGAATGCTGAGATAAAAGATATGAGGAGCTTCCATTTTATTGTAGAATCCAACATTAGTAGATGAATATAAACGACACATTGGGATCCATGGACAGAAAACCCATGTTTCAAAAAAATAAAAGACTCAAAAATCATCAATAACAACAACAACTGAAGAATCTGTTTCCACTTCATAAAGTCTTTCACAGTTCAGGCTGGCATCAGGAAACACTGTCCGCCCTCCTTTTTTATTTCAGCTTCAGGCTGCCAACAAAAACCTTTATTCCCTTAAACAGAAAAGGATGTTTTGCTTTGCCCCCGCTCCTTCTGTTTTGGACTGTGTGTGCGTGTGTGTGGTGTTGTGTGTTGTGTGTGTGTGGTGTGTGTGTGTGTGTGTGGTGGTGTGTGTGTGTGTGTGTGTGTGGTGTGTCCCTGGATCCACTCCCGTTCACTCATCTGTTGTGTATAAAGCACGTAGCCTCAGGAATGCGTCCACCTTCAGCTCTGCAGTCGACAGTGGCGTCTCCAGTCTTTATATGAGTCCAGGTTCTGGTTCCGCTGCTGTATGAGAAGAATCTTCAACGGTGCGGAACCTGAGACATCATCCACCTGGTCTCATGTTATTTCTCATATTCCTACAGCTCGAACTTTAACAGTTAAATTTAAATTTTCCTCCACTCAAAAACCATCTTGTGTCCAGCAGTTCAACTTTCAGGATTCAGGATTTTTAATGAAGATTTTTGACAAGATAATTTAAGTTTTTTTTATTTTTTTGTGGTGAAATTTGTCACATTTTTTCATTTTATTTTACTAATTTATATCACACTTTCTCTTCAGGTGTGTTTTCAGGTGTCACACCATCCGCATGTTAAACCTGAAGTCAAACAGAACCACACAGGGTTTAGTTTCAGGATCTTTGGTGGCGACAGCTGCGTACACACTCGTCCTCAGGGCTTCTCCACAGTCGGGGGGGGGGGGCAGTTCCCAAATAAATCATAGATGCTGAGAGTGTTTTTGCAATGTCTGGAAAAACTGTTCAGCAACATCAGCTTTATTCTGGGTCTTTAAGTCAGCTGATGTCAAACTGAGAGGCTGTATGTGACATGAAGACAGGGTGACGGTGTAAACATGTCCACCTGGGTCAGAATATCCAGTAAAGCTGCCTACATACATTATGACTGCTTCTCAATCACCTAAATACTCTGGTCCAGGTGTGTGTGTGTGTGTGTGTGTGTGTGTGTCTACTCTTACCCCTGTGTAACCATGTCTGCAGTTAACGCTGTAAACTGACTCTTTGTATCAGATTACCTGCAGATTACAGCAACAATGCAGCGCACACACGCAGCCTGGACCGTATAGAATCTGCATCAAGTTACATTAAATACACAATATTAAATATACAAATAACAATAACAGAAAAAACTACTATAAATAGTCATTAAATGGAAGGATGATTAATCAGCAGCAGATTATAAAACTGCTAAATGAATCAAATTACAATGGAAAATCTAAACTGAAATTGATTCGGACCTGATAAATAAATAATAATTACACTTCACTATACTTAATCATTTTGTATTTTAATTATAGTCAAATTAAATTATTTTTACTGATTCTATCCTTGTAAATAAACCAACATGGACAAGAAGCTTTAAAAGTGTTTTGCATGAAAACAGCTGCTGAGCTCACACGTCAACAGATCCATCTCCATGGCAACTGAGCAAACTCCACCCACCGATCTAGACCATGATGCAGCTAAAAGCTCTGGTATAAAGCTAGTAAGTGGACCTTAAGTTGTTTGAGCCAGGTCAACATAAAAAACGGAGATAAAACTACTTGTGCGGGTTGTTGAAAGCCAAGATAGTTTTTCATTATACACACACACACACACACACACACACACACACACACACACACACACACAAACACACACCTGGCCAGTTCCCACCCCTGCATACAAACAGACAGAGACGTCACCTGTGGCAGCTCAAAGTTAACTCACACACCTTCACAGCAGCCATCCTATCCTCCCTCCACTGAATGAATGATGACACACACACACACACACACACACACACACACACACACACACACACACACACACACACACACACACACACACACACACACACACACTGCTCAGTCTCAGGTGTTGAATATTTTATCAGGCTGGTCACATGGTGTCAGGTCTGAATGATTAACGCTGCCGTCCCCTCTCTCGTCACCATTTCCTTCAGGTCTGCAGAGGACCGGGACTCGCTCTGGACCTCCGGAGGACACACACAGTGAGTGAGTGTTGTTACCTGTCTGCTCAGGTGTGCATCTTTGAACTGCATGTTGGGTGTTTGTTTTCCCATCATTCACAGGCACACACACCGTCTGTACTCTTCACTCTCTACAATCCAACCTGGTGATGATCTTCTCCTGCCGACCTCAGGTCAGGTTTTGATCTCGTTTGTGTTTCGGAGTGTGAGGCAGTCACTCAGGATTTCAGGGGACGGTTCAGGTCTTTATGTGGTTCAGGTTTAAACTCCACAGTCGCACCTTTCCGTCGAGAAAGTGGATCCTGGGTCTTCATTAATGTTTCAGAGAGGGAGTCTCGCTCTAGTGAGTGAGGAGAACAGCTGATGGTGTCCCTTCATCAGCTGCTGGCTCACATCATCAGGTGAGACAGGTAAACTGGGCTGATTCTGGCCTTTTATTAGAGAATCAGATGCTGATGCAGGTGCTTTTAGTTTATCTGTCCAACCTGAGACTCCCTCCTTCACCCTGACTCAGTGGAGGTGAACGGAAATCATTTTTAGTGCTCACAGCATTGAAGAATGACATCAGGACTAATGAGGACGTCAGTGCTAAAAATACACCGTCTGGTTTTTACTGAAGCTCCCGATTAATGATTATTTTCATTATCAATTAATCTGCCAATTAATTTATCGATCAAGTAATCAGTTGTTTGGTCTATAAACTGTCAGAAAATGACAAAAAAAATGTGTCCATTACTTTTTCCCAGAGTCTAATGTGACACCTTCACATTTCTTGTTTTGCAGGTTAAAACCCAAAAAATTCAGTTCACAGTGAAATAAAAGAGAAAAGCGTCAAATCTTCACATTAGAGGAACGATAACGAGCTAAATTTTGGGGCATTTTTGCTTTAAAAATGACTGAAATGATGAATTAATTATTGAAATTGTTGCAGTTTCATTTTCTGCTGATCAACTAATTAATTAATTGACTTGTCTTTTCAGCTCTACACTCAACAATGTTCCCAATTACTCAAAATTGTATTTATATGTTGAAACTCTGAGTCTGTTTCCTCCGTTTGGATCTTTGTTTCTTGAGGAAGAGGACGGCTGATGAAGACGATGAGAGAGAGAGAATGATAGAGGGAGTGACCGAAAACAGGAAGGAGGAGAGAGAAGCTCATTAACATAGAGAGGTAATAACCAGGTGCGGTGATGGCGGCGTGGCTGGGCCGGGTGTCCCTGGGCGACGCCTGGTACAACATGTACTCCCGCCTTCTGCGAACCAAACCTGTGGGCGCCATGGCTCACAGTGGCGACGACCTCACCGAGCTCGCAGAGGGGTCGCCGGTTGGTCTCGCCAAGGTCCTGACCACCGTGGACTTGGTATCGCTAGGTGTGGGCAGCTGCGTCGGCACGGGGATGTACGTGGTCGCCGGGCTGGTTGCCAAGGCCATGGCCGGGCCGGGGGTCATCCTGTCTTTTATCATCGCGGCAGTGGCCTCCATCTTGTCAGGTAAGACACCAGGAAGTGACACGGCAGAGTGATACTTATCGGCATGCTGGGAAATATTTCGTGTTTGTCTTTCAGGTGTGTGCTACGCAGAGTTTGGCGTCCGCGTCCCCAAAACGACCGGCTCGGCCTACACCTACAGCTATGTGACTGTCGGAGAGTTTGTGGCGTTCTTCATCGGCTGGAACTTGATCCTGGAGTACCTGATCGGCACGGCAGCGGGGGCGTCTGCTCTCAGCAGCATGTTCGACTCTCTGGCCAATCACAGCATCAGTAACTACATGATAACACACCTGGGCACGCTCCGAGGACTCGGTCAGTACGATCAGTATCTAACCTGACAGGAAGGAGTTTTAAAAAGGTTGAAGGTGGATGTTGATGGAGTTTACCTGTCTCTGTCTCAGGTAAAGGTGAGGACACGTACCCGGACCTGCTGGCCCTCTTCATCGCCCTGCTGGTGACGGCCATCATCGCTCTGGGCGTGCGTAACTCGGTGGGTTTCAACAACGTCCTGAACGTGGTCAACCTGGTGGTCTGGGTCTTCATGATCATTGCCGGACTCTTCTTCCTCTCCGCCAGCAACTGGGAGGGCGGCAAATTCCTGCCCTACGGCTGGTCTGGGGTGAGATACTGAACACGGTGGCGTCTTGGGGTCCAGGTGTATAAAATAAATAAGTGACGTGTTGTTTGTGTTCAGGTGATGCAGGGTGCAGCAACCTGCTTCTACGCCTTCATTGGCTTCGACATCATAGCGACGACCGGAGAGGAGGCGAAAAACCCAAACACCTCCATCCCGTACGCCATCACCGCCTCGCTGGTCACCTGCCTCACCGCCTACGTGTCGGTTAGTGCACGGTGCAAGTAGAACAGTAGAAATAGTAGAGACTTTATCCTTCACCTCCAAAGGTTAAAGGAATATTAAGGAATATTGTGAGCTGGTTTTTTAAGGTTTATTCTTGAGTTTTAGAAAACAATCCTAACTCAAGGGGTACTTTAAGAAGCTACTGCTACATAGCTAGCGTTAGCATTAACAACTGTTTACTTGCCAGTCTTGCTGAGACCATCAGCCATTGTTGCTCTGATAATACAGGAAGAGGTTATAAGTCTTTTGAGCTGCTACTTCTTCAGGGCAGACTGGACGCTACAGTGACTCGGTATTGGGAAAGTGATGAGACTGACTGACCAGACCTGAGCTAGCTGGTTAGCATGCTAACCTCAGTAGAAGAAAAGAAGTGACAGTAATACCAGCAAAACAAAAAGGTTGCTTTCCACCGTTGGAGACAGTAAAGGAACAAAATTCACAAGGTTTCTTCTAGTTTCTTCTTCTGGTAAGTAAACAGCTGTTAATGCTAATGCTAGCTATGTATTAATGGCAAAAATCTCAGTGGGAGAGGTGCTGGATACCAAAAAAATCAACATGAATACAGCAGAAAAGTACCTGCACACTTGACTAAGAGCACAGATCCTCCCTAGTTAACGACCTGTGTGTGTTAATGATAATAGAGTTTGGACACACCCTCTCACCATCATCTTGTCAGGTGCAGTTTTCTTTTGCAGCAGCATCTAGTGGCTGTTGGAGGAACTGCATGTTCAGCATGTTCTCCACAGTTGACCTTTACTTACTGTGCTCAGGTGAGCATGATCCTGACTCTCATGGTTCCCTACGAGCTGATCGACGGCTCGGCGCCCCTCATGGAGATGTTTGCGGTGCACGGCTTCCTGTGGGGGAAGTACACCGTGGCCGTGGGCTCCATAGCCGGACTCACCGTCTCTCTGCTGGGCTCTTTGTTCCCCTTGCCCCGGGTCATCTACGCCATGGCGCGGGACGGGCTGCTGTTCAGGTGAGAAGGAACCACACACACAAACGCGCACAGGTGTCGTTTGAATTTGTGAACTCACTCCCTGCTGAATGTGCGTGCAGGTTCCTGACGCAGGTGTCTGCGCTCACACACACTCCCACGGTGGCGTGCGTGGTGTCCGGGAGCTTCGCCGCCGTCCTCGCTCTGCTGGTGAGCCTCAGGGACCTGATCGAGATGATGTCCATCGGCACCCTGCTGGCCTACACTCTGGTCAGTGTGTGCGTGCTCCTGCTGCGCTACCAGCCTGACGAACAGACCGACACACACCAGTTTGACTCTGGGGGGGACGTGGGCGGCCTGAAGCTCAAGGACGACGGACCTGCACCCACGAAGGATGACCAGATGCTAATCGAAGGCGATGACAGATCTTCGTCTTACCACGCCGGCGGAACTGAAGGAGAAGGAGATGAGTCTAATTTCCACACAGGCCACGCCCCGTTGTTGAAAAGGCTTCTGGGAGGTCACTACTACACCTTGCGGCTGCGTCTGGGAATGCCCGATGCGTCGGCCCGGCCCACCCCTGCCACAGGCCGCATAGTGACCCGATGCACCCTCCTCCTCTTCATCATGTCCTTCCTCATGTGGTCCACCGTCATATTTGGCGTTGAGCAGGGGACAGGGGCCGCGGCGGTGTTTTCAGGGCTGATGGCCACAGCGATGGCGGGTTCCATGGCAAAGCTTTTAATCACGATTATACAACAGCCAGAGAGCACGCGGAGCCTGCCCTATATGGCGCCCTGCGTGCCTTTTGTCCCTGCAGCCGCCATTTTGGTCAATAGCTACCTCATGCTCAAACTGTCTCCGCTCACCTGGACCAGGTTCACTATCTGGTGCCTCATAGGTGAGTTACACATTTCAAATGCACTGTGATAAAAGTATTAATGCACGACAAGTTGTCCTCATATGGTTAAACTAGTTAGTTTGACCAGTGATAGTTAACAGTGTTTTCTCTGTTTACCTGCTTTAGAATATGCAGGTTGAACAGCAGTGATTCAGAGCACCTGTTGACCACTATACTATATTATATTAACCAACTAACTAACTAACTATACTTTATTTGAGGTGATCGATATACAGCAGACATCTGCAGGCCAATCAGAAACAAGTATTTCTTTTTGACTTATTTTCCACCTTTAATTAAATGTATATAATAATAAAATAAGTTTATTATTCAGGAAATCTGACTTTACAATTTGGAAATTGAGTTGTATAATTATCAGGAGTAAATTGTAAAGATATACTGTATATATAGTAATAATGATTACATTTACATTACATTTATTCATTTGGCAAATTACAACTATTTAATAAGTGCAAGGAGATCAAATTGATCCAATTTGAACTGTAATACAATTTGTAAAGTTTTTAATTTGTCTTTTAGCATGTGATTTCTCACTGATGAGTTTTCATGATTTTTAAATTCAAGGTGTCATTTACAAATGTTACATGAACTCATCAATACACTTGGCACTCGACTTGCTACAGACTCAGACATCTGTTTTCACACATGGTTTCAGTCTCTTTGAAGTTACACCGGGGTTTATTTTTAGTTCATCGCGTCGGCTCGACTGTTCTTGAAGTTCTTCCTGTTGGTTTCTGCGCAGTTTGAGTTATCAGGACTCAAGACTTCAGAACAGATGAAGCTGTAAAAGCCACAACTTCAAACTAAATAACGATCTCCGGGTGTAAACAACAAACTCTGCTTTGATGAAAGTTTCTGTAATATGAACGTGAACATGTCAGAACACACCTGCACAGAACACACTGTGAAATCACATGACGTCTCCTCACCTGGGGTATAAAGTAAAAATAATTCACTTGCACTGAAATCTTCAAGTTTATTGAACATGCAACATTTCGGCCATAGTCAGTGTCTTTATACCAGATCTCTACCTGCCGGAGCTTTTATAACAGATCCCGTCTGTCCGTCCTCAGGTCTGCTGATCTACGCTTGTTACGGAGTGTGGCACAGCACGCTGGAGCTGAACGCCCGCGAGCAGCAGGCGCACGCCAGCTCCTACCAACGCTACGACGACCACCTGGACGACACCTTCTCCCCCGACGACGACCTTTACCCCCAGGAGCAAGACGAGAGACCCTACCAGGGCTGGTCTGCCCCGGAGGAGAGGGGATACCAGCAGCAGCAGCAGCATAACCAGTACCAAGAGGAGAACCAGGATGAAGTCCGAGAGGGGGAGCAGTATGAGGATGGTGGTGACCAGTATGGATACCAGTCTGGACCAGGAGGCCAGTATACAAGCAGAGGTGGCAGGTCCAGAGGAAGGACCAATCACGGCTTTGATGCAGGCGAAGAGGAGGACTGAGATTTTGAGTCACCTGACGGTCCAGAAAACTGAGCTAAGACTTATTTATTCTGCTCACGGGAGATGTTAAGTCACTAATCTCTCAGTCATTTTAAGATTTTGTACAGAAGCCTGTTTGGAAATCAGGGTCACATGTTTCACTGAATGAGGCCCACAGCAGCTGCAGGTGTCTTTACCCACCTCCCTTCATACTCCCTCAATCAACCAACAACCTGACAGCAACAGCAAAGCGACACTAACTCCTACGCTGCGTCCTGGTTCTTACCTTCAGCCCCGCCGTGGTGTTTCAATACAAAACCTCCCTCTGTAAACTGATAATTTAATGCTTCCTCCAAATGTCCAAACACCACTCTTGAATTAATGGCTACCCATAAATCCTTGAGACAGTTAGACCATGTTCAGACCTCACGATCGTCGCAATGACAGACAGGATAACTTCTGAACGCCACACGATAATTCAGCCGTTCCTCTGGTTTTGGTTGTGTGCTTTGTTTACAGTCACACCAGTGCGTTGGCACCTGAATGTCTTTATAGTGACTTTCTGAAAGTTACTTTTGTGTTGTTTTGTTTGGGTGAATGGTATTTAAAGTGAAAGAGCGTTTGCTCTGTTTAGGGTTGAGTTAACAGAGGACGTCGTATTTGTTCGTTTTGCAGGAATAAATGTGTTTGAGTGAGACTGAGACTCTTTATCAGTAAAAATGAATTTAAACTTTTATTAATGGTAGCACCAGTCAAAAACCAGATACCGAGTTAATACATATTGATTATATTGTGAATATGATTAGTTTAAAATTATAAAATAAACAGTTATTGGTACATGAGACGACATATTTGGATTAAATGAGAGCAGGTTATCTCATTCTTTGTTCAACATAAAACTTGAATTCTCCGTATTTCTTTTGGAAACATGTCAAACCATTAAAAAACATTAAAGTCACAAGCTCTAACCACAAACAAGCAACAGTTTAAAAGGTTCTTTGTAAAAACCAATAACTGTAAAAGCTGCATAAGTCAGACAAAAAAGGAAATATAACAAAATAAAAGTATAATGAACATTAAAATTTTAGGTGAGGGTGAGTAAGTAGGTGATTGAGAGATTAATGTTGCTGACCTCCTCTCATTCTCCTGACAGGAAGTGATGTGTCATTGAAAACTGAGGTCATGGTCAGTTGAACAGGCAGAGAGCAAAAAAGACAAAAAAAAACTTCCCTTCCTGTCTGCAGAGTGTAATGTAACACGCTGAAAACTGCTGAATCAAGTGAAGCAGATCATTAGATTATATAATTACAGTCTCGAGTACAAGATATTCAAACTAAGAACAAAAAAAAAACTGGTTTCAAAGGTTTTAAAAACCCTTTTTCTCTTTAGATCTAATATTTTTCAGAGCTGTCAGGAGGAGTGGCTCAATCTGATTGGTTGAGTTAAACAGGAGTGGGTGGAGTTAAAGAATCACTAGTTTCACTCGGCTTTCGACACAGTCAATGTCTGAGCCATAATTATGAATGGAAAACTTATGCCTTGTATTGGCTAGGTCTGGTGACGTGAACACTTGAAAATCCTAATTATTACCAATGGATTACTACTACCAATTTAAATTGTGTTGCTAAGCAACCAAAATCCAACGTCCTCCAAACATCTCAATTAGCCGAATTAGCCGATGGGTTTTGACGTCAACATGATTTTAATTTGCAACCAAAATTTTGTTGTTAGAGTCCAACGTCTGTGTGAGATTACATTGGCGTCCAATGCATGCTGGGTAATTTCTAGTAATTGCCTGATGATACCAAAAAGTGGCGCAAAAAGTGAGGTTTCTTTGTGCGATGTCCACAAGCGATCGAATTTGTTTTAGTGTAAAGCCGGTGTAATATTGATCTAGTTTTCTAATTAATTAAAAAAAAAAGCACATCTAGTCGATCATGTCTCTTGATTGACGACTTTTGCAATGTTTATTTTAGCAGAGAAAAATGTATTGAAAATGTTAGTTTTCTGCCTACTGGACTAAGTTTTCTTCTTTAATCCCATTAATAGGAATAAAGTCAGAGCGAATAGTGACTAAATTCAGTCTGATATTTGATGGTAAAATTCTGTTTTCTGAGGCAATAACAATGAGTCATTAGGCTCCACCCACTGAAATGTGAAGGTATCTATAACTGTGGCTGGCTGCCCTTGAGCAAAGCACTAAACCCCAATAAATCACTCCCGCAGCTGCATCAGTTAAATGTAAAAAATCAAAATGCACAGCTTGATCATCATCACACAGTCTGTGAAATGAGGCGCCAGAGAACCGGGTTTTACACTATGGCGCTCTTGGCGTGGTTGGCGGGGGGGTCCATCGGCGTGGCCGTGCCCCGCTGTCTGGAGTAGTAGAAGCTGTTCTCTCTGCTCGGGGTCCTGATGTCGTTGCCGTGGCAACACAAGATCATGGAGCCGCCCAGGAGACAGAGAGCGGCGCCGACCCAGCCGGCGTAGAGCGAGAAGCCGAAAGACATCAGACCCTCGCTCTGGTGGACGCCGATGGGGAACCAGACGGTCGATATGATGCTGCACACGGCTGGACAAGACACGAAGACAGAAGACAGAAGACAAAAGACATGAGGACAGAAGAGGTACGGAGAAGGTGGTGAGACACAAACCAGAATTAACATGTGGACATGTATTTAGTGTCTGAAGAACTGTGTGTCTCTCTGTCTGTCTCTGCTGAGGCTGCTGACAGGAACTACCCATCATCCCACAGGAAACAGTCTGACTCATGGACCCGGTCAGGATGCTGAGACCCTGACCCTCCTTCCATCCCTCCTTCAACAGCTGGGAAAGACCTGTGTGTGTGTGTGTGTGTGTGTGTGTGTGAGAGAGAGGCCTCCTCACCCATGAGGATGAACAGGACCCCTCCCACCCGGCCGCGGCGCAGCTTGACAGCCGAGGTGTCGTTCTGCAGCCGGACACAGGGCATCGACATGAGCACGAGCAGCATGGCGGGAAGACCGAGCAGGCACGCGCATATCATCAGAGCGCGAGACGTCTGGATGTAAGCTGAGAGAGAGAGAGAGAGAGAGAGAGAGAGAGAGAGAGAGAGAGAGGGAAAGAGAGATTTTATAACTGAAGCATCTGTTTGATTTAAAAAAGATTTCAACACAGCTCGGCTTTGGCGCTCTTTCTCAGATAGACATGTACAGTTAGGAATGCACACACAGGGTTCGAATTATGGGGGGGGCGGTTGGGGGAGTTTGACCCCCCCAAAAAATTTAAAAAACAAAACAAAAAAAACAACAGTTTGGGGGGATTTAAAACTTATATAATCTTCTTAACTGTGATTGTTAATATTACAAAATATTTTCCATATTCATGTGTGGAAGAATTTTATAATACAATTTCAGACACCCCTAAAGTGGACCGTACCATTTCTTAACGTCTAATCAATGGATCTGTCCCATCTGTCCTAAAGTTTCTGCCCCCCTGCATCTCACAAGCAAATTGAGACGTCATAGGTAAACATAAGTAGCGGCAGCTAACTATCTAGCTTGTTTAATACACTTTACTTTCTAACCTTCAGAGCTTCTGAATTAGATTGTCAAGTATCTATGGATGAATGCTAATGTTAGCTAGTTTCTAACTTTAGCCTTAAGTTACAGTTTAGCTAACTAATTTTAGCTAGTTTCTAACTTTAGCCTTGAGCTAATGAATGTTAGCTAGCCCACCTTTTCTTTGTCAGTGTTGGCTTGTCATTTCATTACCAATATGAAAGGTCATATATTACTAATATATTATTGAATATATTATATTTTAGCAAACAGTGGTGCACAGTCACAAGCAGTGAGACAAATATTGTTCTTTCAACTCCACTACATTTATTTGACGGTGTTCAGGTCACGGATCTGTTCTGTGTTCACCCTGGAGAAAAAGTCGACCCTCCTGATTGTCACTGTATAATTACACACACACACACACACACACACACACACACACACACACACACACACACACACACACACACACACAGCATCCAGTGCTTTTCAGACAAATTAAATTGTTTTTAAACATTAAAGTCACTGATTTGTCAGGCAGTAATCATAGCATGGAGGTAATTACAAGATCCATCTATCCATCCATCCATCAATCCACCACCTCTCTCTCTCTCTCTCTCTCTCTCTCTCTCACCGGGCAGTGTGAGGATCTGGTTGAGGGCCACGCAGTGATAAAGAGCCGGGGAGATGACGCACTCTGCCCAGAGGCCCCGGGAGCCGAGCTCGTCCATGCGGACGCAGGTGGTCACTGTGTAGTCGCAGGTCCGGACCCAGTCGTTGGTGGCGGTGGCGACGATGACCCCGACCCAGCCCGCGCAGCTCGCCGCGCTGCCGGTAAGCTGCCTGCACATGTGCGCCATGTGGAGTGGCCGTGCGTTTTTACGCGCTCCAAAAAACAGAAAATCACTCCGTATTTAAACGTAGGGAAGAAGGGAAAAAAAGTTTTCTTCTTTGCTTAGTTAATAAAAATGACAAAAAAGGTGAACTGTAATATGATTCTAAAAAATCCCACAGAATAGAGATATTTCTCTTTTGATTAAAAAATATTTATAAATCCTTTTTAAAAAGTCGAAAAGAAACAGTCCTGCTGTGTCCCATCAGTGTGCCTCCGGTTGATGCGCAGGAAAATGCCTAGAATAAGATTTATTGCAGGGTGTGGTGAAAAACAAACCCTTCAGTCCAAAGTTTAAACCAATCAGAGCGCATGTGAGACCCTAACCTAAACCAGATATGGAGAGATGAGACAGCCTGAGAGAGAAAAACAAAAAGCTGCAGACAGACCTGGAACATTTGGCATTGTTGCATCTCAAACAGCTTCAGGAAGGAACTTTTACACATGAATTCAAATAAGTTTGGGTTATAAAACACAGATTTTTCCTCAAGTATCACTCACCTGCCTCACTGTTGCCCCCTGCTGGTTGAAGTTCATTCTCCATCAACATCATCTGAAAACACCTTCAACTCTCAAACAATGAGATAAAACAACTTCTTTGATTAATTATTCATTTATTAAATAATTTCAAGCAGGATACCATAAAAATGTGACGATTAAAGACACCAGTCTCTACCCTGATAGTGACTTTTTTTAATCCACAGAATATAGTGATATAAAACATTAAACTTTCATTAATCACTTACAAAGTCTACGTATTATTATTATTTTTTCTTTGACACACACCGGTTATGTTAGCTACTGGATAGATTTGTCATTGACGTCACGTTCTAAAAAAACTAAATAGACAAATTTTATATATTAAATGTTCAAAATCCTTCGTGAAATAGCTTCAAATTTACACTCTCCAGCGGCATGTAAAATATACACAAAGTTACAAAACCCCCCCCGGTCTCCTGCTACAGTCAGAGGGCCCAAAACGGATTAAATTTCTCCTGGACTCTGGTATCTTCATGCTTTTGCACACCTCCTCTGTTCCCGTCTGCTAAGGCCACACCTCGATTTATAATCTCATAAATTACCGTGAATCTCTTTTTGTGACTTTGTTCTGTCATCCTTGGTGTCAAGCTTTTGTTTTCAAACTCTCTTTGTCTTCTCTCATGTCTTTATTGCCTGTTTTTCCTTCCACATCAAACCCCTCAAACTCTCTCTTTTTGCTCTTGGTGTTTCTTTTTTGTCTCTCTCTCTCTCTTTCATTGGTTTTTCAGTGCGTTGATGTGAGCACAGATCTTGAGAGCCGGTCCCAGTTTGATGTTCATGCTGGTCATCAGGTGGTCCTCGGTCAGCAGCAGCAGAGCCTGGCCGTCGATCTCCTGCAGCCGGAAAGCTTCTGCCACGTCACTGCAGCCTGAGCACGACAACAAAACAAAGACGAGGGTTAAAGCTGTTTTTTTCACATGGGGCTAAAACCTATCCCAGCATGCTCTGGGTGAGAGGTGGGGAACACCTTGGGCAGGGTCTGTTTTTCCTGGTTTGGTCCTGGCCGCTTAAATCAGTCTACATGACACTGTGCTTTAGGGTTGCAACTGTTTATTTGTTTATTTTCATTACTGATTAATTGATTCGTTTCTAAAAGGTTTAAAAACTGGAAGAACTGAGAAGCTGAAATCAGAGATTATTTTGCATTTAGTCACAGCAGCTCCACTCTGTTTCCAAAAGCATTTTACCTTTAACAGTTTATCTTAAAGTGCTTGTGGATGCATTATTTGTATGAAAAAATCCTTGATTTATATATTTAAATATACATGGTAATTTACCTTAGTATCATCATGTGGTCGAATTTGCTAAAAGTGAAGGAGAGCTGCTTAACAGGAGCAGAAATAACTGTCTGCTGTCCGACACATTTTCAGTGAATCTCGGGTTTGATTATTTTGTTGTGTGAACACAGAGCAGCGACTAACCCGCTGTCGACTCGCTCTCGACTTTCTCAGTGATGTCAGACTCACAGCTGGTGGTTAAGAGTTTTCACGTTACCTCATCCAGCGGTTAATTTCAGCGTTTTGTGAAACACTTAATTGGATGGAGAAGCAGTGAATGAGCCCCGCCCCCCACCACCCATCTGCTGACTATTAAGGCACTTGAGTGTTTGTATAAATCAAACTGACACTTTTCACCGAGACGCTCCACATGTGAGGAATTAAATTCATGTCTACTCTGAGACTTATTGATGAATTTACCTGGCAGTGTGTGTATGAAGGCGGTTACTTCCTCCACACTCCACTGCGAGGGGGCGGGTTTGAAGGTGGTGGTGGGCGTAGAGGTGGTCATGGCGGGCGCAGACGCCCTCCGTGCTCTCCGAGCCGCCCGGCGCTCCATCCTTGCTGTCATGGCAACAGCAGGATCTTCCTCTCCTCCGTCATCATCTTCCTCCTCCCCTCCTCCCTCCATGTCCTCCTCTTCCTCCTCCTCCTCTGCTGCCACCGCCTTCTCCTTTCCCTCCTTCTCACGCCGACCAGCACTCCACAGATCCCGAGGCTGGAGGTTAGAAGACAGGTAAGTTCATCTGTATTTATTTGACACCTGAGGATCTGATTTAGTAAAATGTTTTTGTATTGAAATTCGTATCTGGATTTTTTTTTTCTCTGAATAAAACTTCAATTAAAATTTGCAATAATTAATTTCCTTTTTCAACATTCACAAATTCAGAATCTGAAAAATTTAGAGGGAGAATCTCTTCATGTCTGAAACACAACAATGGCCCCCAACTAAGCAACTACACAACTACACACTGCTTCTTTGTTAAAAAATTCAAAATTCAGTAACAATTGGTTTAATGTTTAAAAATGTGTTGTATTTTATATTAAAATTACTATTTGTTTTTATGTAAACTCTTAATCTGAAAGGTAACAAATAAGAAAAAAAAAAGTCAAAGAAATGTGAAGTAAAAGAAGTAGTATATTATGAAAATACTCAAGTAAAAGTACCCCAGTTACTTTACATGACTGAATAAACCTGCTCTCAGGGAAAGAAATCCTCAAAGCACCATGGCTGAGTTGAAGATGCAGTTCCTCTAACGGCCACTAGAGGTCAGCTGTGGCTTCATCCACCCACAGTGACGTCAATAAAAACTCCAGATAAAGAGTTTCTAAATGTCATGGCGCTTCAGTAGCTAAATCCACCTTTTGTTATCAGGGACACAGGAAAGATTTTAGCTCCAAGCTCTCTCCACCAACATTTTGTGGATTAAACGAACTGTTCAGATGTAGTGTCTGTGTTTTTTGTTTTGCAACATGCAGGAATAAAATTCAAATCCTCTCTGTGCTGCCAGGAATAACATTCTTGTAGGGGACTACACAGGAAGTAACCAAATGTACATATACTAAATCTAAAACACTGCATCAGATTATAAAGTATCCAACAACTGTAAGTTTTTATGAACTATTCCCAATATAAATAGCTGTAGCTCTAGAAGATATTTTGCATATTTGCACCAAATTTGTTTTCCTGGTTTTAGAAACTGCACCAGAAACAGCTGTGAGGCTTCAGAACCCTTTTAAACTTCACTTCCCAGAAGTCACAGCTGCTCGTTAAGTCGAAACCTGTGTGAGCAGACTGAGACTGAAAGAGTGTGTTTAGCCGGCAGTGGAGACACGGGAGTAGTTTATGAAGTTTCTGTGGATGTTTTTTACACCTTTAACACCGTGAAACGACGACGTGTCACTGATAGAAACCACAGTGACTGAATCTAAAATGGCCGCCGTCTCTGTTCTCGGGAGGAAACGGCACGCTCAAGTTCACGTCTTCAGCAGGTGAGTGTTTAACAGTGAGGGGAGGAGTTGTCACTTTAAAATGTTAGAACGCGGGACAACATGCTGAGCTAAACATGACGTGGTTAATATTCTGTTAGCACGATACATACATGCGTCATGCGTCATACTGCTAGCTTATAAGCATGCATGCTGAATGTTAGCATGCTAACATGCTAAATCCTCTGTTGTGTAGAGCTCGTGTAGGATTTCAGACGTTAACACTGATATTTGAGAGTACAAACACATTCAATAAACTTTCTTTTACATGAACACATAATATAAACAAACCACTTTACTCAGGATCTGTTGAATCTGGTTATTAAAGGCCAAAATAGCGATGCTCTGTGATGAACAAACCTCTTTAGCTTTTCTGTGGCAGCTTCTTTGTTTATCATCTTTGTTTGTTTATCATCTGATAAACGTCTGTGATTTACTAGAATTATGATATTTATAATATCAGCCAAGCTATTTGGATTTGTCTGAGGTTTAGAATGATCCCTAATATGATTATTTGATTAGAGAAATATTAATCTTATTAATGTTAAGCTTCTCAAACGTGAAAACTTGCTGCTTTTCTTTGCTTTATATCACTGTAAACTGAAGATCTCTGAGTTCTAGACTCTTGGTCGAACAAAACAAATCAATCTGAGGCCATCGCTGTGGCATCAGTAGCTTCCTGGTTTCCCAGCAACTGAGACCTGAGTCCAGCAAGATGGGATGAGAGTGAAATATAAAAAGATCCCTCAGGTCTATTTGTACAGGGTCTTAGTGTTGTCTGGTCCCGTTTGGATTAGGTCCTTACTTTTTTTTTTCTTTCTTTTCTTTACATTTTATAGACTGAATAATTAATCATTAGTTGCAGCCTTAATTGGGGTAAATGTAAATGTACATTTTGCTGCGTGTTGAGTGGAGTGAAGTGAACTATGTAAAGTGAGCTCCAGCTTTCAGTATGCTGAGCTTCATTCAGTGTCAGTGTTTTTAAAGTTGTGGTTAGTTCAGTGTCCGTACCAGCCGCAGTAAAAGAGGTTTCCCAGGCACCGACTCTGCCCTGTTCAGAGCGGGTCGAGGCCTCTCCGAGCGGCTGCCTGCGCTCAGAGCTCGCAGTCGCTTCGTCAGACGAACGTTAAACCTGACAGAGAGACACAGAGAGAGGGAGAGACAAGAAGACGTGGTGATGTTTCCTCGTTCTGCTGCATTGATTCACACTCATATCTGTATTTGACACCTGTGTTGTATCTCCACCACATCCTGCCAGCGCTGCTGTCGTGACAGCAACCCTCATAAACACGCATAACACACTGTGTCTTCTACAAACACTGTGCTACAGTCACATGACACCGTAGCAGCCCTCTTCCTCCTGTTTTCTTTAGTTTTTCAAGCCAATAAAATCAGGTCTCACCCTCGTGCACAGGAAGTGGAGCAGAAGCGCTTGGACCGCATGAAGTTGTGCGCGTGGCCTCTCTTCCCACAGAACTGGCAGTGCAGCACCGTTCGGTCCCTGTGACCCGACCCTGTGAGCCAGAGAGACAAACACGTTCACGGTCAACTGTTTTATTTAGGAGCAATTAAAGCTGCACAGGCCAGAATTTAATCTAAATACATGAGAATAGATGTTTATCCAGGGCATTGGATATTTAGAAGAAGGAGGATCAGACTATTTCAAGTCCAGACTTTTAGACTTTGGAGAAATAGATGCAGCACAAAGTGTCCAAATTTTGTTTATAGAGTTGACTATGGCTGCAACTAACAATTATTTTCATTGTCAATTAATCTGCGTCATTGATTAATGTCAGAAAACACAGAAATTACAATTATCTTTAGCCCAAGTGAATGTCTTCAAATTGCTTGTTTTGTCAGACCAAGAGTCCAAAACGTCTAAAAATAACTCAAATGATTAATTGATTATTGACTAATTGACTGTGGTGTTGAGCTTGGTCACCACTCCACCGCAGAGGAAGCTACAGCTCAAGTGTCAGATGAACATACTGATGGTTTTGCATGTCTTAACCCTTTGTTACGCACAATATAACACGTTTTCGCAATGTACTTATACTTTAAATTACTGCGTTTTCCAAACCAAACCATCATTAAAGATTGATTTCCAACCATTTCAGTACATCTATGAGAATCAACCTATAACTTTATATATTTAAGAAATGTATTTTCTGGTTCAAGATTTGCTTCTTTTATCTGTTTTTAAATAGAAAATCTTTAGTTCAGACAAAACAAGCTGTTTAAATATGTGACTTTCTGCTTTGGTGCATTTTATCAAGTAAATTGTCACCTTTTGTTTTTAATTTCTCAGTTACTGTCTGTGTTTTATTGTCACATAGACAGAGATGCAGCTGAAATCCTTGGTGCATTTAAGGACATTTCCACATCACAGTTCGGAGAGACACATTTTTATTACCTAATGTGCAAAAGCTCTGGTTGTTTTTCAGAGTGAAGGGCTTATAAACTGGTCGGCCTGACTGTGGTTCCCAACCTGGGGATCTCCTCGAGTATTTTCTTTTTCTTATGAAGTATTGGAAAGTTTTGAATCTTAAGAACTGTAAAAATCATTATTACTATTAATGGTTCATAAGTCTTACTGGTCCCGGGGTCGTCCGTGTCTCCTCCCTCCTCTTCTTCGGAGTCCGTCGAGTGCTCGGCTTGTTTTATCGTGTCCGTCACGGGCAGCGCTGCTTTGCCATTGGTCCCGTTCACTTCCTGTGGTTTGGCCACCTGCTCTGGGACCAGCAGGGATGAGCGGTTCACCTGCACAACGACAAGGCTCTTAAATACATGTGACATCATTATTATAGTGACGGTTTGTAAGTGTGTGTGTGTGTGTCCGTACAGGAAACGGTTGGAGCCCCTCCTGGATGACAAACCCCTCCACCAGGTGGGTCAGAACCTGTCGTCCCTCGGGCCACGCCCTCGACTCCCAGGGGCTGCTCAGCGATTGGCTGAAGCTCTCCGACTCGTCTTCCGATTGGCCGAGGGGCTCGGGCTCAGTCTCGGTCTCAGCCAGGTGCCGCGTCTCCTCGGCTGCTTTCTCGACTTTCTCTGGCTCGTGCTGCGTCAGGCCGAGATCTGTCGGGTGGACGGTCTGGGCGGGGAGGAGGGGGGGAGGGTTCTCCGCCAAGGGGGTGATGAAGGGTGAGGAGGGGGGAGACTGAGAGGAGAGGCTGGACAGAGCTGCAACACAGAACAGAAAACATCAGCTCAACCAGTCAGTTCCAGTGAAGCCTGAGCAAGAAACATGATCTTAAATCTAGTTCATGTTTTGGTCTGAGACTCCTTTAACGCTAATTTTTTATTTTTTTATTTTTTTTCAATTTGTTTTTTTTAAAAATTCTTTTATTATTATTTCAATTTTTTTTATTTGTTTATTTTTTAATTAATTAATTTTATTTATAAATTTTTTATTATTGTTACTCACGGAAAGGGAGGGGCAAAAGTGTTGTTTCTATATGTTTTCATTATTAGTTATTTATTAGTTTTTCTTCACCATATATTTTAGTCATTAGTAGACTGATGTGCTGGCTGCAGGTACCTGACTGGTTGTCGGACTGGGTCGACATGTTCTCACAGAAGTCCTCCTGACCGACAGGCTGGAGGTCTCGATGAGGCTCTTGTAGCCTCTGACTCTGGACGGAGACCTCGTTTGTAAGAGCCGGTGCTGGAGCCGGTGCTGGAGCCGGTGCTGGGATGGGGGCTGGGACTGAAGCCGAGACAGGGGCTGAGGTCTGGACTGGAACCGAGGCTGGAATAAGACCCGGGATGGGTTTGGATTCCATGCTGGAGTCTTTAACGGTGTCAGGCGTTGGGGTGGGATCTGTGTTCTGGTCCTGATGGAGAACCTGACTGGTCAGCTTCTCAGACTGGTCCATGGCGGCTTCCTCCTCCTCCTCCTCTTCCTCTTCCTCCTCCATCTTCTTCTCCTCACCTTCGTCTCTCCTCTCTCTGTCGCTCTGACCTTCCTCTGTCACTTCCATCTGTTCCTCCTCTCTGCTTCCCTCAGCTTCCCGCTCTTTCTGACTGATCTCCTTCTCTGTCGTCAGCCTCTGTTTCTCCTCCTTCACTTTCTCTCTTTGGTCGTCCCTCTCCACCCTCAGGTCTTTACCCACGCTCCCCTCATCTCTGACTCCTTGTCTCACCCCTCGTCCTCTCTCCCTCTGCTCCTCGCTCTCCTTCGCCTCTCCTTTGTGGACCAGAGTTTGTGATTGAGGTCCGGCCTGACTCGGAGGAGAGGCCGGACTCAGGAGCGATGGAGGTGAGGGCAGAGGAGAGGTTGTTTTTGGCATCGAGGGGTTTAGAGGAAGAGGAAGCACGTCTTCACTGCTCAAAGTCCTCTTTGATTGGCTGGAGAGATCAGGCGGCTCTGCAACTGGAGGCGGCGACTGCACCGCGGCATGGGTGTACGTTCCGGGTTGAGGCTGGCGCCCCGAAGAGAGGGCGATGATTTGCAGCTGCCTCGCTGCAGACGGCGAGCGCTCAAAGTGGGAAGAAGCAGACATGGGGTTGGTGATGGATAACGAGCCGTGCTGCGATTGGCTGGAACCCAGCATAGTTTGAGATAACGGACAGCTCTTCAGTCCCGCCAGCGGCCTGCTGATGGGCGAGGCCTGACCGGAGGGAGCAGCAGCGATCGGTTGGAGGGTTGAGGTTTGTCGGGGCGACGCCGCTCTGTGGCCGTTCGGAGAGTGAAGTCTGGGCCTCAGGGGGACGGCTCGGACCGGAGAGTAGAGAGCTGCAGGAAGGAGAAGGAAGGAACACAGGTGAGCTACAGGTGTGTGATCAGAAACCAGCTGCTGCTTCCCAGAGACTGACTGAGAGAGTGAGTGAATTCAGATGCAGCCGAACAGTTTTCCTTTTAAATATCTTCTTAAGTCCCTTCAACAGTTTTAAACTAACTAAATATTTTCCCCCGGACTAAATATGTGTTGCATGTCATATATGAGTTTTTGGACTCACACTCCCTCCGCCCCTCCCTCAGACTAGTTTCAGGTTACAGATTTAAGTCCAGCTGAACGTTTGTGGCAAATTTGAAGGAGTTCACTTGCAGAGTTCTTGAGATATTGCGTTCACTAGGCGAAAACCTTTGACCACCAAAATAGAATCAGTTCGCCCTTAAGTCCTAGTGAATGTTTGACCCAAATTTAAAGAAGTTCTGTCAAGGCGTTACTGAGATATCGTGTCTGAGAATGGGACGTACGGACGGACGACCCAAAAACAATATGGCTGTCGTCGGCTTGAAAGCATAAAAAAAACATGAGAATGAAAACATGTTTACCTGCAGATCCTGTTCTTCCCTTGTTCTGTTTTTTTTTTTGACTGAACAACATTATAGATCATTGCTGCACAAACTGATAAACACACAACATTTCCTGAGGAATAACTGGTGAATATATGCAAATTAGTGGATCAGGTTACCTGCTAAACCACTTTGTTTCTTTCATTGTTTAGTTTTCCAGGAACCTAAAAAAATATTTCTTTCTTTAACTTTCTATAAATGTGTAGTTTTCACTTTAGAAAGGAGGGGAAGGTGTTCTACAGGCGGCTTTTTTTAAAGACGCCTCGTGGGGTTTTGTGCATCGTTGGGCTTTAACAAATGTGTCAAGGGCGTTTCCTTCCTCATAAAACATCTGTGTTTTGATCCCAGCACTGATTTAATCAGTGTTTATGAGTTTACAGTTACAGTTTAAAACACCACAGTGACACTCATCATAAACTTCTGAATCTGAACCTGCACCCTTCCCTGCCTGTATTTAGATCTCAGTCAAATAAAAGACAAATGAAACTGGTTGTTCCTTGGACACATTGAACGCACCGCCCTCCACCGTGATCACACCCTGTGTTTTAGTTTTCCTTCGGGGACTTACTTGGAGGTGGGACGGAGAGGTGGCGGCTGGGCGTGGTCGGGCTCTCCGTTGCCGTGGTGCTGGGCTGCGGCCGCGGCCTGAGAGGTGGGAAGAGCGGGGCGTGGGGGCGAGAGAGGGGAGGCGGGGCCGAGCACGGGGGCTTGAGACGCAGGGAGGGGGGGATGGTGAGGGCCCCGGGGGGAGGAGGCCTCAGGGTGAGACTCTGGAGCTGGAGACGGAGAGAAACATGTTCAGTTAGATCTCAAACACAACTGTCCACTTCTGCTTTGACTCAAGGTGGGCGCTTAACCCCTCCCCCAAAGAGTGACTGTCCAATCACAGCTTAGCATCCCATCCCCCCTCTCATTCCAGCCTCTTCAATATTTTCTGCTTTTCTTATATAATAATAAACTGAATCTCTGTGGGTTTTAGACATATGAGCAGATAAAATGAAAATAATTTTCACTATTTTATATATTTTTTTATATGTTTTTTTATTTTTTTTATTTTACTATATTTTTTAGATGAAACAATCCATAATAATCAACAGGAGTCAGTTTCAGCTCCAGAAATAACACAGCTTTCCTGCCCGTCAATCTTTAATTTAACTTTATCACTAGCAAAAAATGAACAGACTGGATGTTCGCTGTGATAATCTAGAAGCTGTTTGTTTGGAAAATGACTAATTACTTTCATTTAGTGGTAAATCTGCCACTTTATAATTATAAACAGCATATCTGAAAACAGAAAGTCATAAATCACACACGAAAAGTCGTATTCGCTCGGCTGCTCACCTGAGCGGAAGCAGGGTTAGAGGACAGGCAAGAGGAGGAGGAAGAGGAGGAAGAGGAGGAGGAGGAGGAGGATGGGGCAGGTCGCATAGCAGATGTAAGAATCAGCTGCAGGAAGGAAAGAAGGAAGAGAGGAAACAAACAGAGGAGAGCAGGGATTAAAGCACAGAGTCTGATCATAGTTGAGCAGTGAAGGTGAATGAGTGCGAGTGAGTCGTAACGTCTGTTTTATTATATGTTTTTATATGAAAGCTCATAGCGTTTGTATTTCCTACATAACCTGAATGTATCATGAAACTCCTGGCCCCCCTCACCGACCACCCCCCACCCCCATTACCCGCTGCTGCCTGATTTTAATACTGGTCATCTTTTCTGATGCGGGCAGCCAGATTACATGTAGAAATCTATGTAAGTGTGTGTCTGTGTGTGTGTGTGTGTCTGTGTGTGTGTGTCTGTGTGTGTGGGGGGTTACCATCTGAGCTCTAAGCAGCACCTGGTCTTGGCCAGACCCTTTGAGACCTTTCCCTAGGAGCAATGTCTGCTGGGATACCCTCTGCCTGACAGGAGAGGGGTTCTGATTGGCTCGCACTAGACCAGGTGTGCCCACAGGATGAGCCTGTGATACCTGGAACAAAGGGGGGAGGAGGGTGTGGGAGGAAAGGCAAGGGAAGGGAAGCAATTAGGGACAAGCTTCAGAGCGATGACGTCTTCTTATTACATCTCCTTGTGTGTGTGTGTGTGTGTGTGTGTGTTTGGACAAAGGGTGGAAACCAATAAGAGTAAACAATCCAAAGAGTGTGTGTTGAATAATGCTGAAACAAGAAACTGTAAGTTACAACAGGATGTTTTCCTAATTTAGTGATGAACTTGATGAACTGATTGGCTGAGAGCATCGCCTTTGACCCCGCCCTCTCCTCTGACATCACCTAAGACTGCACCCAGGCAAAGCAAGGTAAATTATATTTACATCTACTCCAGGTACGAACTGGACTCAGAAGCTTTGAATTTAAACCAAATTAAAACACAATGCAACTGTTTTCTTTTATTCACCGCATGTTTTCAGCTTCCTTACCTTCATCAATCGATTCTTTTAGAACTGTCGTCATGAAATACAATATTTAACAGAGCTGCACGATACGTAAGAAATAATCATATTGCGATTATTTTGGCAGATTTCAGTTGGAATTGTAGTTTTTGCATTAAATAATAAAGATGTTGTGATTTTTCTTGGTCTTGTACCAAACAAACCTGTTCCTTTGTGTCTGGAGAATATGGTTTGTTGTCTCTGTAGCATCACAAACGCTTATGGTGCTAACAATGCACAACAATGTTGTAACACATTTTACCTTTATCAAAAAAAGAAATGCAGCTCCTGCAATTTGGATATTGCAATTTGGATTAGTTGTGCAGCCCTAATATTTACTCCCAATGGAAACATACACTTAATTAAAAGACCATAAATACATGACATAATATATCACAACCAATTTCTGTAATCGTTCATCTAAACCCAAAAACGTTGAATCTCCATTTTTCAGTACAGAGCAGCACTTTAAAACAGTTTATCATCATATTTTCCATCTCTTGATATTTAATAATGTCAAAGTCAAACTACAGATGACGTCCTTAAACTGAACTTCCTGTTGTTCTTGATGAAAGGCACTAAAAGGTTTAGTGAATATATAGATGGTGCAGTGGTTTTTAATCAGCTCAGATTGGCTTGTTTGAAGGAATACTCGCTGTAAAATCAATATTTTGTTGGTCGAAGGATTGAGAGTTTGCTGCCTCATGGAGGACGGCAGCTGCAGTCAGATGGAGTCACATCAGTTACAGTGGATCATCCAGAGTCAGAGCAAATAAATAAATAAATGAATTGAAACATCTTTAAACTTCTCCTGCAGCATAATCCACTTCTCCATCACTGATCCGTCTGTTCAGTACATGTCCTCCACGCTCCTCGAAGCTCAGACGCCTCGACTGAAGAAGGATGATGATTAGCAAATTATGAGCAGAGCGGCAGTTAGGATGAACGACGGAGAGGTGGGTTACGCTGCAGGGCGGGTTTAAACAGATTTCTGGCATCCATTGTTGCTGCTGTGAGTCCAAGCTCAAATCTGAGTGAATATTTGATCATTTGATTCTCAAAACATCAGATTATTAGTGAAGAATTCCTTTTTAATTACATTAAAAAAAAGTTGATAAAGTGATGAAAAATATAAGATTCAGTCTTCAACACCTTTAAACATCTCTCTTTACATAATGGGCGCCTGGTTGTGAAGTAGATGTAGTAGCACGTGTGTGTGTGTGTGTGTGTGTGTGTGCGCGCGCGCGCGCGTGTCTGTCTCACAGTTCAGCTTTAGTTTTATTTTCACGAAGCAAACAGACAGAGACGTGTGACCTGAGACTGAGGATGTGAAACATCAGATGAAAGCAAACAGAGAGGAAACTGTAACCCCCTCCACACACACACACACCACACACACACACACACACCACACACACCACACACACACACACTGACCGAGACAGACACACACTCAGCCTGCAGGTACACATCACCTACGCAGTTTATCTTCCATGTCATCATGTCGATCATTTATATGTAAGACCTGGGACGAGTGTGTTCAGCGCTCCTTTTTAAAATTAGACGTGTTATGTGTTCAGGCGTAGTGGTGAGCGGTGATCTGTTTGTCCGTGCTTTGAAAGGTCAGAGGTCAAGAGGATTAAGGTTTAGAGCCACACAACACTGGTCTGAGATTTCTGGAGACTAGTTTTCAAACTAAAACTGAAGTTCTCAGACGTAAAATGTTAAATACAAACATTTATAATAAATATAAATAAAATACAGTCTAACATTGGCTTAATTGTGATTTAAATCCAGAGAGAGAGAGTGTGGGATAAAACGAAAATAAGTTCATATACGAAGGCGTTTATCCTGAACAAACTCTTCCTCATTCAGTTTCTTATCCCAGAATGCTTTTCAACAAGATGCTATTTTAGCTTTTTAAATCTATGTTATTGTGTCTCATTCTCAGCTTTCTTACTGGATTTGATTTGTCCTTCATCTGTGAAGCACTTTGAACTGCACTAACCTGTATGATTGAAGACCTCCAGACTACCTCCTATAACAGTATGTACAATATACAGGAGGCACAGTCTGGTTATAGTCTGTAGTTAGGGCGTAGATTTGATTTCAGAAAGGGGGGAGACACAAGAAAGTAAGATAAACAAATCTAATCCAAGTATTGTACTTTAGTTTGCGATGTTTTCTTTGAGATGATGTTGTATTTGCATCTTTCCAACAAAAAGCACCATGATTCACAGCTTAATTATTATTAAATATTAGTTATGAGTAGAAATATTTCCTCGTTAGTACATTTTTACAGCCCTGAGTCACGTCTGCAGGTTCTTCCCTCTCAAGCTGCAAAAACCCAGGGCAATAAAAAGTCTGCAGAGCGCTCCCTGCACCACTTACTGCTGCTCCTTAATATTGCTTTGAGCACACAGTAATAACTGAAGGCGACTCGCCTGAGTGCATCAACATTTTTTTTTTATCAGCTCAGACTTTCTCTCGTCTGGATGATGCTGTTGGTTCACGACAGACCGTTAACGAGGGGTCAGTGTCCCAGTAAGTCCATGACGGTGAACCAGTAGACACAACACCAGCGCTCTGGGACCAGTTCATCTAAATGTAGTGCAGTTGTTTTTAATGTTTATTCTATGAGCAACATGTCCCATACACAAATGTAATATTTTGAATTTCCATATATTTATAATTTATTAGAAATTGGAACAGGTTTATATATTGACATTTATATGTACTCTATACAAATATATACATTTATGTATGTATGCTTATATTGTAGACAGATGTTACATAAATATATATCAACACCAAAGCCTCACAGTATATGTTGATATTATAAACAGTAGGTTCTGACACCACTTTAAGTTAGACATGTTTAAAACTAATGAGGAATTAATAAGATAAACATACACATTTTTTAACATGTATGTTGTTTTAATAATCTTGCATAAATAAATTAATCTTTACACATAATTATTACATAGAAAACATGTATTCTATGTAAAAAAAATCATCACATAGATATTTTTAATTTATGTACATATACAGATTTTACTATGGGCATTTCATATGTTATAAACTGTATCTTCATATATCCACATGATGTATATATGTGATAATAAATCCACTTATAAGTGACATATATGGCAACATCACTTGATAAAGGGACATATTTGTCATATATTACATTTCTGTGTGGGTGCTGAGAGTCTGTAAACTCTGTCTGTGATGCTGCATCCCTTCCTCTAAAGACAACACGTCTTCTAGCTGCATTGCGTTCATGAACCACGCCGTTAAAACAGCACGTCACACCTGCACTCACGCTGTAGCAGCTGCGAAATCAGGCATCAACTCAAACCGACGTTTTGAGGAAACGTTCCCTTCAACAGCAAAAACTGAAGCAACTCACAAACTGGAGTCAAACGGAGCCGAAATTCTTACTTCATTCAGCAAAAATAAAACGAGGAAGTCGTGGTGTAAAGTTGCTCTTTGTCTTCCCACAGGATTTTACAGAGTTATTCAACCAGAAATATACAAAGTGAAACAGCTGAAGATAGAGATATAATGGAACTACATTTCCCATAATACACTTGACATAACAACCTCTATTCCGTTCATTATGTAAGACTGAACCAGCTTATTAAACAAACCATCTTTTGCTCTTTTACAGTGTTTTTGAAGCATTAGATGAGCCGGAGCTAGCAGCTGGTTAGCTTTGCTTAGCATAAAGACTGGAAACGGGCGGGGGGCAACCTGGCTCTGTTGGAGAGTGACTGAATCCACCTACCAGTATGTACATGTCGGTGCCGGTTGGCGGCCATTGTTGCCTCCTTTTTGCTGTCTTAGTGCTAAGCTAAGCTAACTGGCCATAACTTTGTATTTACTAACCGGAGAGAAGGTGTATTTCCAAAAGGTAAAACTATTCCTTTACAGTGAGATGTGGTGTCTTTGGGTCATGTGGAAATGTGTGTGTGTTCTGTAGAAATTCAGAGTGTGTGTGTGTGTGTGTGTGTGTGTGTGTGTGTGCTTGTGTGCGTGCGTGCGCTTCTGTTACCTGTCTGCCAGGTGGACTGGCTGGTGTGTGAAAGGGCGTGATTGGTGTGGAGGTCGGCGTGGATACAGGCCTTGTGTTCCCGTTGGTCAGGCTGGTGGAGGTCTTGGTGGACATGGTGGTGTTGCTGTGCATTGCAGAAGAAGAAGAAGAAGAAGAGACGAGGGGGGAGGCTGTGCTGGCTATGGCAAGGGAAGAGGAGGAGGAGGAGGGGGAGGTTTGTGTGGCGGGAGATGTTTTGGAGACGCTGGTCGGGGAGGGAAGGATCGGGCGAGAGTACGTGCGGAGGGCGGGGGTCGCAGTGGAGGTGAGTTTAGGGGGAGCGGGGACGAGGATGTGGGGAGATGCTGCTGCCGCCGCCGCCGCCGCCACCTTTGGGCCGTGGGTCGCAGACACGGAGGGAGCAGGGGTGAGAGGGGGAGGAGGGGAGGAGGTGGTGGGGGTTAGCGTGGGCGCAGGGGAGTCCAGCAGCATGGGGTTGGGGGTGAGCCGAGGAGGGGTGGGGGTGGTCGGGGTGGAGGAGTCGGGTGTGGTGGCGGAGGTCTGAGGGCTGGTTCCATTGGTGGACTCTCCGTGGTCTGATGGGGTCTGACGCACCAGCTCCCTGTCCATCCTTCAACACTGTAGCACACTGATTGATTGATAGATAGATAGATTGATAGATAAGAATCAGGAATCATCGATGCAACATTTGCAATAATTTAAATGCTGCATCTGTAATAAACTCAGACTGACTGTGTGCTGAAATTAAAACTTTCCTTTCATATGATGTCACCTCTCTCCACACCTGTCTACCAGGTGTGTATTAGACAACACTTAATTTAATGGTCAATAAAACAATAACACTTTATCTGATGGATCTGTTATCGTCTCCACCAAGGAGCTTGTTTTCCCCCGTGTCTGTTCGTTTGTCAGCAAGTTTACACAAAAACTACTGAAACGATTTGCACCGAACTTGGTGGAGGGATGGGATGTCGGTCTGAGATGAACACATTGAATTTTGAACCAGATCCGGATCATTTACTTTGAATTTAAAGTTCTTTCTCGGAAGTCTGGTGCATGTTGTTCTCCCTGAGTGGCCTTCTGGTGTTCGACTGATTTCCTAAAACGTTTCCTGGAAAGAACGATGTAATCTGGTGTAAAATTGAAGAAAGGTTGAAGTTATTTTGAGTTATGTTTAATTCATAAGCAGATGTTTACTGTCCGAGGAGTTCTTGGTAATGTTGCGTAGTTTGGCTCAAATTACAGAGGCAAAGTTCTGAGGCTGTTATCTTAGTGGGTTCAGTTAGTCGTGTTGAGTTTATTATTGACTTCCAGTGAATTTCCAAGGAAGAAACGGCTCCATTTAAATCCCAGTCCCTCATTTATTTTATCATTGGAAACTGTTTTGCATGTGGAGCTCACCTGCTGTCCTCTGAATAAAAGTCTCAGGGTAGCGTTAGCTTAGCATTTAGAAATAACTGGAGGTGTACCAGCTGATCACTCTTTAATTTACCTGTAATTAGCACCAAAATCATATGGTTCTTTCCAGGAGATTAGCTGGAAATAAAGTGGAAGCTACAGACCTGTAAAATAAAGTGTTTGCTCTAATTAAATAAAACTTAAAGACAATAATTGAACAGCTAATGATGAAAAATCAAAAAAACATTTTAGCCTCTGTCTGTTTGGGTAGATTTGAGGGACTCTGACTCATGACTGGAGTGTTTCTAAAATCTCGTCTGACGCCTTAAAGCTTGTTTTCCTCCAACCACAAGGAACAATGACGAGACCAAAACCTAAAAAAAAATCCTAAAACAAATATCATGTCTGACTAAGCTGAAAGGCGATCCACACTCAAGGATGAAAACTAGACCCAGAATATAAAATATTAGTTTTCTGAGACTGATGTAGTGAATATGTTCAGACAATCGCTGGTTCGTTTTGAGGACGTGATAACCTGACAGCTGCCCTTCATCCCTTCCACCGATCACAAATGCCCGTCACTGATGCTGAAGTGAGAGTTTCAGACCACAACACTGACTGCTGAAATTTCACTCTGCAAACTGACTGACACACGACACCGCCACTATCAACTTCAGCCGTGTGTTTTGGATTAGAGCCATGGCAGCGGTTTGATCTGACCCAACGATGTCAAGACAAAAGAAGAATCATCCTGCAGGCAGTTACAGTGCGAGTGTGGTTGTGTAACTGAGTTTAAAACGACATTAGAAAGCTTTTTATCTCCTCACGTCATCTGAACTCAAGTTAGACTTTGATTATTTTTGACTTTTATTTGATCGATTAATCAAGAAAAACATCAACGGATAATGAAAATAATTATTTATTGTAGTCGTTGCGGCCTCACCACAGTAATCTGAAGAAGTTAGTTTGATTATTTGACTAAATTTTGTATCTACATCCAGTGATCAAACACTAGATTCTCACTCTTCAAACCCACAAAGAAAACAAACTAACAGCGTTCACGTTCTCCAATTTATTAAAGACTAAAATAAGATGCAGGAAAGTCGGTGTACTTTCACAGCCCTGCTTATGCTTCAGAGTCCATATCTTTGTCCAGGTCGTTTCAAAAGTTTCCCAGATCCTGTCGACCTTTACAATTAAGAGGAAGTTACTCTGTAAAAGTCGACAGTTTAAAGGTACGTGAACCAACAGATTTCCAGTCCTTCAAGATGCATGAACCATTCCCGACCGCGAGAGCTTTCTGCTGTAGCATCTTCAGAGCTTCACCAGCAGGAAATCTCCCAGTGTGAAACCGAGCGTGGTCACCACAGAGAGGCAACGCTGATCGAATCTTCAGCTTCTTTTTGAACTAATATAAATGATGGATCACCACATCTATTCTGTTTATTTAAAGTGATTTAAATGTATTTTTAATATAGTTCTAATATCATTATGACATATTTATAATACTCTTACATGGAGTGCTATGGTGCACTATATTATCTGGGAATTAATCAGTGACACATAAATAGTTTTGCTTTCAGATCAGTGATTTTAATGCAAAACATACTGTAGCACTTAAAGGTCCATCCAGTCTAAAGGTCTCTGTCCATGTGTAGTTTGATTATAAAGCAGGTGTGTGAAAGTGTGAAAGTATCAAAGCCTCAGTCCACAGAGAAATGCACACAGCCTGTATTCAGAAACTGAGCCTTAAAACGAGCCATCAAGACTTCCTGTAACTTTGTGATGTCACAACAAAGCAGTCACCAAGCCCTGTCCACCTGGACCCACCATCCAAACCTCGCAGGATTCAGTTTTCGGAGTGTTTTTACCTGAAATCTGATATATTTTTGTTGGATCACTCAGAAAACAGTCAGCCAATCAGAAGAGAGGCTCAGAGCCTCTCTTCTGATTGGCTCATCAATGAGACTGAGAGAAGAGACGTAAAACTACATTGAGATGGTTTTTGGTTCTTAAAAACACAAATACATCTTATGGATCAAAAACTAAAATGTAGGACTGTTAAAGGATGCAACTAATCATTATTTTCATTATTGATGAGTCAATCTGATCAGTTTATTGATTAATTTATAAATATTTCTGTCTATAAAATGACTGCAGGTAGTGACACATGTTCTCAGGCTCCACAGTGACACCTTTAAATATGTAAAGGTGGAAAAAATGAGCTGGAATCAGTGAATTTCAGTCACTTCAGTCAAATTCCTTCAATGATTAATCAATAATCTTCTGATAATCGATTAATAGACCAGCTGTTTCAGGTGTAGAATCAGCGCATGGAGTTTGAACAGTCTTAATCAGTGGAGAAGGAGGAGTAGCCTAATGTCACTCCAGGGTGAACCCCACTCCAAGTTATCTGAGCAGTTAGGCTGCAGACATGTGGAGGTGGGTGGACACCATCGAGCGGTTTTGTACGGTGGCGTGTTGGGGGGGGGGGGTCTCGGTGTGCTCAGTCTGCAGCCTGAACTCAGCTGAATCCACGCACCATCACCGCGCAGGCAGGTGCCACTCCACGCGCAGCGGGCAGATGCTGACATCTGGCCCGCAGCCTGTTCACTCAACGTGCCCGCCTCACTGTACTCTCCCTCAGACGATCACGGCGATAGTAACGAGTCACGGTGCACACAGTCAGGCCAGAGATCATGCATGTGACTATTAAAAAAAAAAAAAAAAAAAGATGGAGACAGGCCTCCACAGCGGAGAAGTCTCACGATAATAACATTTTGGGGAATTGTCATGACCACGTTATGCGTAAAGCTCCCCGGCCACCTACCTCTGAAATCGGCCGTCGTCCTGCAGGTTATTCCCGGTGTCGTCCTTCCGAAAGTGAGCGCATGTTTATAAAGTCCGCTGCCGTGTTATCAGATAAACGGGTCGGGGCTTTTTCAGCAGGGTCGACACAGGCTGAAATGGGCGTGTATTGAATCCTCACTTCCTCGTCTGACAGCGCAGGGGCCGCTGTGAAGTGCGCGTCACCCTCCCCCAGACAATAATTTCACCAGCCTCACCTATGATGATCGGCCGTTAGCCCCTGCAGAGGGGCACACGCGCAAAGTTGCAAAGCAAGACAGGCCCGTTTATGATGTGCACGGGCTTGTGTGTGTGTCGCACTTTGTTTAGGGTTTCATCACAGCCCGGGCTTTTGCTTTTCTTTTTTTTTTCTTCCCGCGGATCAGTCCGTAAATCCAACATCCAGAGGGGGGGATATGTTGCCCGCCGTTCTCCGGTGTACCACCACCGTCACACCTGCCGGGTCTGTGGTGGGAATCAGCCCGGCTCGGGGGCCACCGTGTAGCGGCTGCGAGGGGCCTGCTCAGTCCGCTGGTGGAGGAGTGCAATGGAAGGCAGATCTCACAGGGCGACAGAGGCGAGACAGCACCACTCAGAGCTCAGGAGGACCGCGAAGACTGACAAACAACCAGGCTGCAGCGTGCACGCTGTGCAGTCATACAGTGATGGAGCGACACACTGTTACTGTGTGACCGCTGAGCAATGGTGGACCGAGTGTTCACTCCATTCACTCAAGTAAAAATAACAATAACCACGGAGAAATGGCTCCATCATTCTGCTCTTGGACATATCAAAAATGAAAGCTCTCAGAGTGCAGAGTGTATATTATTATAACTGATGTACTAAAGTGTAAACACCTGATTTTATTTCGTTATTTTTTATTTAATCAGGCAGTGTCATTGAAATGAGATTGAGATTGTTCAGGAGGTCCTTTGTTCCCACTGCCATCAGGCAATATGCCATCATATTATTACTAATACGCATTTATATTATTGCATGGATGACTCCTAATTATCTATCTATCTATCTATCTATCTATCTATCTATCTATCTATCTATCTATCTATCTATCTATCTATCTATCTATCTAATATACTTAGTGTGTTCATAAAATGTAAAGAACTAAAATAAAAATTAAAATGTCTAATTTGGATATTAGGTAAGAATTCAGATTCCTTTCTTAAGTAGAAGTACCACTATGTAAAAGTCCTGAATTCAAAGTCTTATCAGCAAAATATACTTTAAGTATCAGAAGTAAAAATACACCTTATGCAGTATAACAGTCCCTGTCAGTATTATATTACTGCATCATGAATTAATTGAATATTATTCTAACGTGAGCAGCATTTTAAAGTTGTAGTTGCCAAGGTGGAGCTAGTTTTAACTTTTATATATATTTAATATATATATATGAAAATGCATTGTATCTTACAAAGTGGACAAATCTGTACTAAAGTAAATGTTTCTACCACTGGTTGGACTCACACTAAACACTAACATATCATCATATATCCTGTTTATTTAAAGTCAGAGGTTTGACCTTTTTATAGCATGACTTCCTGTTTATTAGCCAATAATATCCCTTAAATGTGAGTGGAGGACTGTAGTCACCATGAAATATACACAACAGTCTTAACCTAAAATTTAAAATTTCTTCTTCAACTAACTTAAACTATAGGCTATCTCTAATTGACATTTTAATTTAATTTTTCTTATTATCACATTACATTTTTTTTTAAATAAATGCTGTATCCTTGTCATTATGTGTTTTCTTCGGATGTTTCTTACTCCTTTAAAAACACTGAACATCTTTGAAAAGTGCCCTATAATCTGACAGCACGTGGTCATGTGACCAGCGCAGAGTCGTGTGTCAGTAATCGGATGAGCGTCTGTCATTGGACAGACCTGCAGACTGGACTTCGTGCACCTCCACCTACTGACAACAAATACTCTGCTGCGTCACTGGTTTTAATCTGCAGCTGCAAAACCGTACACACACAGGCGGGAACACACCGGAAACCAGGGGGCTCTGCCTTCAAAATAAAATGCAGAACTGCTCCTGACGCGTTATCTGCAGGATGTTATGCATTTACCTGCTGCGACATGATTGGCTGATTGTATAATTGCATGAATAAACATGAATGAGTGAATTGAAATATTGTTTAAAAAATGTAAACCACCATTTTGCACTATTGTGCTTTACATTTTGGGATATGGAGGCCACATGAAGCGAGCAGCAACATCGTCCACTGGTTTATTTTTTTTTAGGATTTAATAACTTTTCTTGCACATAGAGGAATTTTGCTTTATATCTTTTATTGAATTTTTTTCGCATACATTTGGCATGCACTGTACTGTGAGTATGCTGTTCTTGCTGACTTTTGACTCTGCATTACAGTCCTGGAAGGTGCAGCTTTGCTCTATGTGAAGTGTTACTGTATGCAGATACACATTTCATGCTGCCAATCTCTTGTGAAACTGGATTCGGATTGCTATATATGAATAATATTACTAATAATATCCAGGATTTTCTTTTTTTGTTAAAATTAGTAGTCTGTAAACATTTTTCTTTTTTTTCTTTTGGAATTGTTTCACTTTACATAGGCTTTTATTTTGAAAGTCTGAGCCGGACGCGTTACCCTAGTCTGTTAGACTTGACTCCGGCGTTGCTAAGATGAAAGCTCCATAGCAACCGACTCTCCAGAAAAGAAAAGTTGAGATTTTATATTTTTATGTTTCAATAGAGGTGAACACCGGAAGAAAATGGCGCGTCTCTTCCACACACGGAGGCCGGAGACAGGAGCGTTTCCTTGAAATAAAAATGCCAGCAACAAAGGTTTTAAAGCCCCAACCAGTGGAGGCGACAGGAAAAACCGTGGAGAAAAGCAAACCGGCGAAGGTGAAGGCGGTGACCGGAGCAGAGAGTGAACTCAAAGCGCCCGCTGTGCGTAAAAGCCGCGCGTCGAGCTGCCCGAGGTGTCCGCAGCGGGACAGGTGTGAGCGGGCCACCACCACCACCACCACCACCACCGGTACCGCTCCCGCTACCTCCACCACAGCCTCCAAAACGACCTGTGAGAGGAGGAGAGCCAGGTCTACATCTGTGGCTCCCAAACCGACCAGCTCTGTGAAACATGGAGCTGTCAACCCGAGAAGCCGGGAACCGACCACCTGTCCGGGGCAGCGTCAGCAGCGGAGCGTCAGGGCCGAGACGAAGTGTGCAAGTCAGAGGTGAGACAGGAGAGATGACACCCAGGGGTCCGTATGGCGTTTCTACAGTGATATGAGGATATGAATAAATACTCTTAACATGAAAACAAACTAATCTTAACAGGTAACATCACTAAGCTGTAAACATGTGAGTATTAAACTGTAGGAGCCATTTTATAAAAGAGTGTCTGATTTACAGCATGAAATATGAATGTTTTCATTTTATATATAATAGATAAATAAATAGATACTTTATTTATGCCCTAGGGGAAATCCCTGTGTCCAGCAGCTCATTAGTAATAAATTTAATAATAGTTGATAATAAATAAGATGATTTATTTATTATTACTATTATTATTATTATGATAATAATAAGTTTGAATATAAACAGTAAAACTAAAAATGTGGCCTGATAATGAAAATACAATGGATAAAAATAGATTAAAAACAGTAAGATAGATAAACAACAATAATAAAATAGATAAGAGGTAATAAGAAACATTTAAAACTCAAATACAATATAATAAATGATTAAATGTAATAAATAATGGCCTTAAAACATGAAATCAGCTTCACTTTGTCCATCTGAAGATAAAACTTAACCAATGAATTTGGCTGTGCACAACTTACAATAACTTAAACCTCTAAAAAACAAAATATGTTAATGTATGTCTTTAAGTCATTAACCATGTGATTACTTTTAGTTTTAATGTGGCACAATAGGAGATAAAAAAAAACTTCTTAAAGTGCCTCTGAAATCTCAGGAAGTCTGGAAGTCTTCAGGACAATAGAAACTATAAAGGTTGAGAAAGTGGAGGCACCTTCAGAGATCAGAGCTGAGGCCTCCTCACAGGCTGTATGTGGAAACGTGTGGAGGGATCCCGGTGATAAAGAATCCTGCTTCCCGCTGCTGTCTGCGGCCATCTGTTGCGGTGGATTAATCCCAAACGCTTTACCCCCCACTGTCATGACAGACCTTTCAGGTGAACTGTGTCAACGTCAGTGTAAACAGATGATTCGTCACAGTTTGAGTTGTTACTTCAGGCCCTCAGGAGCCACAGCAGCCATTTATTTTATCCTTTTTTTTTTTTTTTAAATTACTTTGTTAAATATTTATCTTCGGCTAAATTTCCAATATCACTCAGTATCTTTACAAGGATTATTATCATGTCAGTTCTGTTTGTGGTTTCTTCAACATCTAAATATCTTAAAACTTTATTCTTTGCATGTTCACTAGAGTTGGACAGAGGTTCTCTTAAAGCTCCGTATTTTCTTCTTCTTCTGTTTTTTATTTGAAGTGTTTGATCCATAAGAAGATATTTTTGTGGTTTTAAGAACCAAAAACCATCTCAGTGTAGTTTTACATCTCCTCTCTCAGGCTTCTCTCTGGAGCTCTAGTAACAACAGGTCAGTGAGCCAATCAGAAGAGAGGAGGCTCTGAGCCTCTCTTCTGATTGGCTGACTGTTTTCTGAGTGATCCAATAAAAATATAGTAGATTTCAGGGAAAAACACTCAGAGAAACCAAATCCTGCAAGTGTTGGATGGTGGGTCCAGGTGGGCGGGGCTTGGTGACTGCTTTGTTGTGACATCACAAAGTTCCAGAAGTCCTGACGGCTGGTTTTAAGGCTCAGTTTCTGAATACAGGCTGTGTGCATTTCTCTGTGGACTGAGGCTTTGATACTTTCACAGTATTAATATAGAAGCTAGACCTGATCTATAATCACACTACACATGGACAGAGACCTTTAGACTCAGGTTGTTAAATATAAAGAAGTTAGTGTTTAAGTAGGAAGATGCAGGTTTGATCTTCTCCTGCAGCGCTGACTCCTCCTACTCACCATAGAGCATCAGCTGACGTCTGAAACCTTCATGTGTTTTTCTGTTTCAGTCACAAAGCTTTCACCGTCATCCCCCCGAACCCCAAGAAGAGGAGGGATATGCAGAGAAGTGAGTGGTCGTGTTGTGTGTTGTCAGTGTGGATGGATCCGTGTGGTGTTTTATGTCGTTGGGTTAATTGTTGTGTGATTGGTTGAGCAGAGGCGGAGGCGGAGCTCGCTGCTTTAGAGGAGCTTCGTCTGAGCAGAGCGATGGCTTACGTATCCATCAACCCCAGCAGTGTTGGTGAGACACACACACACACACACACACACACACACACACACACACACACACACACACACACACACACACACATAAAGACAGATCTGTGATGTCCAGTAGTATGGTGTGTTTTCTGACTGTGTGTGTGTGTGTGTGTGTGTGTGTGTACAGGGGGTTGTATGAGTCTGGAGGAAGTACGGTTGAAGCAGCAGCAGGAAATGATGGAAGCCAAGAGGAAACAGAAACCGGTCTGACAATTTAAACTCATTTATTTATGTTCATATTTTACATTTAACAGAGACATGCAGCACCTTCAAGTGTCTTTATTTACATGTATTCGTATGAGTAGAATTCATTGTGTGTATTTTATTATTTCAGATGAAGACGCAGGTGATGGAGCAGACACCTGTCCTGATGCGCTGAGCGTCACGTCTCCTCTCGTCTCTGCCGGCAGCTCAACGTCTCGCTGTATCTGCAACTCGGAGTCAAATCCCATATTTAGAATAAGAAATCCACATGAAACCTGTGTTGTACAATCTTCAGTTTTTTGTGTTTATTAATATTATTATTTTCCAGTATTGTTAACATTTCATTTCATTATATTTTATGTTTTGTACAAGGCTGTTTTGTGCCTGATATATGTTTTAAATGATGTGTGTCATATACAAAACATACGCTTTAAAGCGTCATTCAGCCAGATTACAAACAGATTATAAAGTATTACATTCATTTGGCAGCCATATTTTATCCAATGCAACTCACATTTTTTTCTCCTTCATGGGCTCCTGTACTCAGGCACAACAACACTCAAGATTTCAGATCATATTTAGATCAGATCCATAATGATGGTGCAGTTTTGTTTCTCCAACAACAAAGAATTACAGTCATAGAAGAAGAAGTGTGGTTTTATAGCTGTAGATGGAGTCTTCTGTTGTTGATGTGGCTCTTGGGTAATGTAGTATTTAACAATATGATATAAATTTAATATTTTTGATTTTTAGAGGGAGACGTGTGTTTTGAAGCTCACTCAAAGTAAAGAATAGGATCGTACACCTGTGAGGCGTAATTTAAGTTCATGGACAGCTTTCTCTCCTGTACCTTTTTTTCTTTTGTTTGTTTTTTCAGGCGTGGCCCATGAACACATCACGCCATTCTCCTCTGTTACATAAGCCATGCATTATAGAGGCGTTTGGGAGGAATGTAAAGTGACGTGTATGGGCCGTCACTGTAAATGACTGTATCTACGCTCTCAGCGTGTTTTCACCTGGATCAGAGCAAAACCACAGGAAATAAACTGAGCTTTAATAACACTGTTGTGTGTGTGTGTGTGTCTGTGTGTGTGTGTGTGTGTGTTTGTGTGTGTGTGTGTGTGTGTTTGTGTTGCTCATGTTGTGGGGACCAAAATCTATTCACAAGATAAACTGTGGTTCAGTGCTGCTTTTCAGACCCCAGCTGAATCACATTATTAAATCTTAAAACTCAGTTGTTTTCTTTGGCTTTTTCTTGTTTTTATAACATTTACTTTTTGAATTAAATTGTAAGTTCTCCCTGTTTCCTGCATCAGTTTGGGACTATTTTCAGCGGCGGATTACTCCACATTTGGTGCTCTTTTGAATATTTGTTGCAGCAGGACAGTGTGTGTGTTTGGGACTGAGTCAAAATAAACTATGTTGTGTGTGTTCATGGTTATGAAGGAACATCTCAGTGCAACAGTGTCCATCCATCGCACTTTACAGAATAAGCCACCAGTCATTTGTTGACAGTGATGTTTACAACAAACCTTGTCTCTAGTGTCTGTTCTATGTTGCACTGTGGTCTATTAGCAATAACATTTCGTTTCCCTGCATGTTTGTCATACATATGTGTGGAAATGATAATAAAAGCTGAACTTAAAGAACTTGAAAATTGATTTTGATGATACAAAATAAAAAATACTGATTAAAAAAAAGTAATAAAATGATAAAAATATTTACTGGGATCAGCCTGTAAAATACCCTCCATGTGTCAGTTTAAAATGCAGAATGTAAACTCCTCGCAGGTCCCTAAATTCCCCAAATATTCACGGGATTTGTTGACAATAAGAAAAATAAAGCATATGACCAGACTCATCATTTCAGGGTTAGTTAGGGCTGTTTAGTCTCCAGGGAAAAGTCAATTGAGTCACCTCCTGTCGTTCTCTCCTCCACCAGCAGAGGTCGTCTTCTGTTCATTTCAGAGGCAGTGAAGGTGACAGGGTGGACAGTGATGATGACCACACAGCACACTGTGTAAACGACGACCGACTTATGTCTGAAGAACATTTGGTTCCTCTCTAGAAATGCTCCATACATCAGACTTAAGATACCAGAGCAAGGCTGCAGCCAAACACTGTTGGATTACTGTAGGTTTTCATTAGGATCATTCTAATGTTACCTTCAAGGTCTTTGCATAACAAACACACAAATTAAAGGACAGGGAGCTAAATGTCAGCGTCGTGCTGCTGTCCCGGGCATGCATAATTAAAATGTCATATTAGGTGACTGAAACACCCACATACGCATGCGTGACAGCTGTAATTGTTTTGTGTCGACATGATTGTAGTCCTTTAAGCGACGCCATTCTGTGACGCAGGTGCTGCATTAAGGGGATCACCATAAGCTCCGATGTTTCAATGCTCCAGAAAATTACTACATATTTACTGATATTTGTGCAGTTAGCTTAAAAGACAGACACACTGTTTTTAAAACACAACACTATAAAAAAATTCGAAAAACGTTCCTGAAATGAAAGCTTTGACTTTATAATATAGTGTGCTACTAAACTGAATTATTGGTAGTCTACTTTTTTCATATTACTTGCTAAATTCTTTCAATTTCCAAGCAAAAACACATATTTTTAGTGGACCTCAAGTCTGAAATACAAAAGAAGAAAAGACCATACCTTTTTTAAAATGTTTTGATCATATTTTTTATGTCATCTGTATGTTAAGCCTGCATTTTATGTTATCTTATTTACTTTGTAGTAGAGTTCTTGTTCTTGTCCTTGTCTTATTCATTACATTTATTTTCTTTAAATCCTTATTGTTATTGATGTAATGTGGTATTCAACATCAATAATATCTATTGCCTATATTGTTTTGTTTTTGTGTATTGTTGTTAGGTCTGTGTTCTGTAAAACTTTGTAAATTGTGAGGGTAGAAACAATTTCTCACATCCTTAAATGCAAACTTTAAAGCTGGAATTTGATTATAATGTTGTTTTATGGCCATTATTTATTTTACTTAATAATTTATTTTATGTTTTAAGATTCCCTCTTATTTATTCTATTTGTCATTGTCTTTTATCTTGCTTTATTCTATCTTACTTAGTTCTTACATGATTTTTTTTAAATTTTCTTTTAAATTTTTAATATTATTATCCTCCACAATTTTTATTTCTTATGTGCATTAGTCTCAAATTGTTTTACTCTTTACATTTGAACATCTTATTGTCAGCTTGCTAGTCATCTGTAAAATACTTTTGAATAACATTAGTCTGTATTGAAGGTGCTTTACAAATAAACTTTAGAATGTAAATCTCAAACCCAGAATATATCAACTTTTACTGGAGTCGTTCATTTTCACTTGATCTGCGTGTTCGTTTGGACTTACTGTTGTAGCTCATATTTCCGACATTACCTGAAGGCGGCATGATTCGGTGGCTGCTGAGCTGATCTTTGTGCGAACGAAGCAGAGCGGTCGCAGTTAGCAACGGACAGCAAACACACACAGAAAGACGCGAAAGACGGCGGAGGAGACAGCGTTTGGGCCTGAAAATTCACACAGAAGGCGATTATACAGTGACAGCGACGGCCTTAAAATGGTAAGAGAACATTTACAGAGCTGAGAACGTAGGCTGGCGGCACTAAGAGCTAGCTGGCTAATGCTAAACGGTTAGCGAACTGTTTTCCTGACTCATTATTGAGGAGCCCGAGAAGCTAGGCTGCCATTTTACACCAGCAACACGGGCAGTTGGTCTCTCCTGGCCGCTCAGGTTGGCTCGGCGAATACTGTATTTATGTTAAATATATCCCATATAACATTTTTATATTAAAAGGAATTATAAACATGATCCAAATAGGGACCGTAGGTTGATTGAAAGCTAGTCCACCTAGCGCCTACTGACAAGCTAAATGGCTAATCGAGCCTGAGAAGCTAATGATAGCTAGCAGTATTGCGTAGCAGACTCTGGCTCAATTCGCAGCCCAGCGTGAGGAAATCTAAACACATATTTAAAAATATTATCACTGTATAGCTTCATTGTATTTTATGAGATGGTTACAAGGCTGTAGTTTAGCTGACGATGCCACAGCTTGTGTTTAAACTGAACACATCGGCCCTCCACTGCTACAGAGTGAGGGATAGTGATTTGAACCTGACACAGGGCTCCCACACTCCTGGAATACCTGGAGAAACCTGGAGGGTTGAAAATCGTCTATTTCCAGGCCTGGCGGTGTTGAGGAAATGTGCTAAATAGGGTTGCAAATTTGAAAAGATTGGATTTTTGTTTCCTCTGAATGATCAGGACCCCTTGGTTGGAGGAAAATAATGCCGATCTCTTTATCCCCTCTCCTTGATTTTTAAATGGGGAAACGAACCAAGTTGACATACCTGGTTGTTAGTAATGAACTCTCACTCGTTACCTGTTGTAATGGAAGTTTGTAAAAGGTTTATATGAAAAAGTTATAGCCTCTTTAGTTGGCAATATGTAGGAGCTCTGCACTTACATGAAATAATGTTTTATCTTATGAAGTTTTTTAAGCCAGTTGTTTATAAAAATGCATTTTCCACTCAGATAAAGTTGAAACCAAGTCAATATTTAATATTTTAAGCTTGAATATCTTAATATTTAGTTCCAATGTGGCCTGATTATAATATTTGAGATTCATACAGGGCTCCCATACTCACCATAGTTTTAAAAATGTTATTTGGAGATATTAGGATAAGGGAGAGATGATGATGTTGAAAATTCTTGTCTCCCCTTTGGATTATATGGCTCATAGTTGTATCTTATTTTTATGCTTTTATTCCCTTTGAGTGATTGTTGTTGTTTATTGTTCACTGACAATTTCTCCTTACATTGTTCTTGATTTTAAAGTAGACAACAAATGTTTACAGTTGACAAAGTTAGTTGTTTTTTTTTGTTTGTTTTTTTTTAATTCACTTTGATTATGGAAGTTTTAAATAGTTAGTCTTGATCTGGCAGTCACAGAAAACCATTGCAGGACTTTTTCGTTGACAAGGAGCAAGATTCCTTCAAGATCAAATGCGTCATCTTGGGATTTTTATGTCAGTAATGTTTTCCATGATTGTCCAGAGATATGCAGCAGTAGCTATTAGGACTACATGTGAATATATATTACATGATGTTAATACTTGACATAGCATCTAGTTTCTGTGTGGTCAGGTCTGCTGAATTTTGACTTTGCCTCATTACAAAGAGGCTACAGTTCCCTTCAGTGTTTATATTGAGTGATGAGGCTCAGTTTAGCATGTGTAGACACATCTTATCCTCTCAGAAACAACCTGTTTGATTGGCAGGATCTGCGTGTGTTTATATAGACTTTAGAGTGGAAGTGTGTTGGTACTTAATGTAGCATCTACTGCAAGATGATAACTTTGTATGTTTACCATGATAGAATAGCTGCAGACTTATCCATCCTCACATACATGGCTGTTTAGAGGCAGCAAAGAAAATATCCATATCCTCACTTACATACTTCCATCTATTTTTTGTGGAATTTGTCAGTTTGAGGAGAAACGTGTATGTTCAGTCGACCTCTATAGCCTGAAGTAACACAATATTAATGCTGTGGAGCTGTTGGTGTGTTGCATTCAAAGATTCCTTGTTCTGCAGCTTTGAGAGGAATCTAGAATTTCCGTATTTGATGTAATGGAAATATCTATTTAAGGAGATTTTCTTCAGTGATGTTTATACTACTTAGAGCACGTGTTGCACCTGATATGCCCTTTCGCAATAGCTCACTCACACACACACATAAGTGTTTAGTTGACTGATCCTTTCTCTGCTCAACATCATGCTGGCAGACAATCTGAAATCAGTCTGCATTTGTGTTTGGCAGCCTAAAATGACTGGAGCACCTTCTATGGCAGCTCTGTTAGCAAATCAGCAGCATGTAAACAAGCTGTTATTAAAACTGAAACAATTAATTAATCATTGTTAATCATCTCACCAACTTGATGAGCAATAAACATACACTTCAGTGGTTTCAGCCTCTCATATATAAATATTTGCTCATAAAGAAAATCATTGATATGCTAATTGATAATGAGAATAATTGTTAGTTGTAGCTAGAGCTGAAATGATTTGTCAATTGCCTG